AACGATAGTCAAATAGCTAGCTCTACAGACTTCTATTCTTTATTACTGCTATAGGAACTCGACATACGCACATGCATACAGTTGTAGCACTTTCTCCGAAGGGGTACATAAAGCAGAATTCAGGCAGAGTTAAGATTTTTTCAGGAAATCTGTCAAATACTTCTTGAAAGAGCTTTTTTTCTGGAAGCGAACGACAACAGTAGGGGCTGAAAATTTGAGAGAAAAAATAGATTAAGATTCTTCAGAAAGGATGTGCAGTTTAAATCCTGGAGTTGTGTCAACCATGTAGGCAGTTTTTACTTTTTGTAAAAGTGAGTGAATTGATTTATATCATCATAGACGAATGATTTGGAATCCCACACCGTTATGTCGCTGGAATGCTTCTATTCATCTGGCGCAGCTAAGCTATTTAAACTGCAAATCTCAGCAGTTCCAGCTTTCTATTCAACGTATATGCGCTACTTCCTTGGAGGTTGTTCCAATGGTAGTTTATTTTCTCGCGAGTACCATACACTAAAGTGTGACGGCCTGCGGTTATCGACAAGACGAACAATGTGCCTCGTCCATCGGATTTTACTTCCTCACATAGTTACTAGTTCCGTTTCCGCAGTTCTGGATGTTTCCCGGATGCACATAGTCGGCTTCCAAAATCGTAGCTTACATCTTTTTCTGCTCGCTCTCTCCCGTATTGAATTTTGCCTTAGATGACATTTTGCAGACTGCCCTCATGCCGTCAAATTTTTATTCGCTTTTCGCATAAAATACAAAAAAAAAAACATCAAAGCCATGTCTTTAAGATTGTATGTACATGTGAATGAGTTTCGTCTGTCGTCCTGTAATTTGAAAGCAAAGACGAAATTTTGGAACAGTGGCACTCGGCTATGTTTGAATTTAAAAGTGTGAAAAAATCTTGAGATTTTAACAGTTCAGTATCCCAGGCAATACAATTCGTTAAGCCAAAATTTTATACATCTACTTGAGATATTCTAGAACGGCATCATGAGTTTTAACGAAACATTTGGTCCCATGTGTTGTTACTGATTTTGGATGACATGCCCGGACATCTAATAGATCCACAACAGCATCTTTTATGAATCCTTACTTCCCTTCACTGTAAGTAGCTATTCCTTTATATAGGCACCTTCCGGATAGAACACGCTAAACTGAACGGATTTTTTTATGCGCTCACATATAAATTACCATAAGCGTTTTGTTGGATGATTGTATATATGTTGTACGTGCGCATATATTTGTATGCGTATTATAGTCCCTAACTAGGCAGCAGCAAAAACAAAAAACCTAAAAAGACAAGATTTTCCACAGCAAGTCAAGATTTTTTTTTTACAAAGTGCTAATTCTATACTGCAAATCAATCAACAATTTTCGTGAATTATTAAGTTTCATAAAGCGATCTACCTCATTCGAACCTTTTTAAGCAATTTCAATCTTAAAAGTCTCATACGTCCGTTATCCAGCACCAAAACTCCCTTTTTCCGAGCCACTATTACGTAATTGTTACGGACATCATTGTCGAAAATTTCATGCCTTTTCAGTTATTCTAATTTTAATCTGGGAAAAGGCCAGGATGCTTATTGTAGCTTCAACAAAGGTTTAACAGCCGCCGAGTCTTCTTGCTTTTTTTCGAGAAAAACTCGAGAAGCATAGCACAGGTTATGGAGGTTAACAACTGCTGCAACAACTGCCGAATCTCGCTGATTTTTCCGGAAAAAAGCTCGAGGAGCATGGTACAAGTTATAAAGCTTATTGTATCACATAAGTAACAGCCCACCGCGCAACAAATCAGTTATCTGATATCAAGCTAATGAATGAATCAGCTCTCGGGTATCAGGGCAATGAAATGAATCAAGCCGTTTGACACTGAGGCATGCTGAGAAATGGTATGTCACGCACCAGCCCACTCCGGAATGAATCAGCTCTTTGCAAGGAAAAGGAACTGTCGATTTTCCTCTGTAGTGGACTTTAACTGTGGAAACCCTGCTCCGAGTGGACGGAGGCTACAGACCTCTAGAAAAAAATTTTTTTTGTACTCCATAAATATGAATTAGACGTTTATGCACGGATTACTTGTGAATTACAACGGATAAAAACACAGGGTGAACACTGGAAAGCAAAATGGTATTGAAAGAAACGGTTGGATAATACAAAAAAAATTTAACGTTATCCAGCACAGGCAGCAACAGTACAGAAAAAGCACATCTCCTACAGTCCCAACAAGGTACAAATGAACACCAGTGTGTGTGTGTATAGACAGCAATATTTAATTTATACATCCAGTGTCGAAATCCCTTGCCATATTCACTCTACTACGAAAGAAGGAGG